CACACATATATATATATATATATATATATATATAGAGAGAGAGAGAATGTATATATAAATATACACATGTATGTAACAGGCAAAGGCTAAGTGTGAAACAAATCCAATTATGTTAACTGATTTAAGATCCTGGAATCTGACAAATCTGCTGAGTATGAGGCAAACGGAATCAACTCCTGTGAATACAACTATCGTAACTCCTGCATAGGCATATATAGATGCCTATAATTATATACGACTGTCTACTCCATAAGCTTCAATATCTATCATCATTATAATGGACTTCTTGGGCTAAAGCTGTGGAAGCAATTGTTGTTGTTGTTGTTGTTGTTGCTGATGTTTCTATAGTTGTTATGGAAGCATGCTCTAGCCATAAGAGAATGTTATTTGTTTGCTCGGCTTGGATATATGACACTTATTCGGGCACACGCACACACACCCACACACACACACACACACACACGAGCGCAAACTCACTGCACACGAACATACGTTGATTTTCTTGTTGTAGTTAATTATTATTATTATTATTGTTGGTTTGTTTTTTTGTTTTTGTAGTTGTTTTGTTTCCATATATCGCTCTGTTTTGTTATTGTTTTTGCTGTTGCAGTTTGTTAATTTAGTTGTAGATTTTGATTGCCTTCTCGGAGAAATTGAGCGAGCTGCGCTTGCGCGATTTGTTGATGTGATCCAGTCCGAAGAACGGCAACTGCCCGCCAGTCCAGGTGCGATAGACCTCCAGATCAACGGGGGTATTATCGTTCACATCGATGGTATGGCCCATTGTGATAACGGCGAACTTGTAGTTCTCCCACTCCTTGTCCGGCACATTGAGTCGCTTCTGGATGCGCTGCTTGAGTGCACCATATGGCTCGCCATGGCGCGCCTTGGTTAGGAACGGCACACCAAATGAATTGTACAGCTCCTTGCTGAAATGGGCCACCGGTACGAGGAGCTCGTTCTCGGCCAGCTGTGCCTCATCGGCCGGCACCTCCTCGATGCGGTAGACCTTCTGAGTGCCCTGTGTGGTGGTTATCGACTCATTAGTCTTCATCAGCGTCTCCAGCGGTATGTCGTCCTTGCAGATGGCCACAATCTTATGATTGCCGACCTTCATCAGGCGCAGCTTCTTGCGGCTATTCTCGGCGAACGTGATCGTCTTGGCCGCCTCATCGAGCAGCCCCTTCACGGTATCATTCTTATTCGGATACAGCACCAGCTCCTTCTCCTCCTTCAGGTCATTGGATACCCAAATGCACTTGAACAGCTTTTTGTTATCCAACTCGTGTATGCTCAGTGACAGTCTCTGATAGAAAATCCGCTTCGGCGTGCTCTGCTTCGTGTACGACAGCAGATCCTTGATGGTACCCTGTGAATATCAACATAGTTCGTATTTTTGTAAAATTTAAAATTTGTAAAATGAAACAAGAAAGCTCTAGTCGAGACTGCTCGACTACGAAATTCCCTGAACCCTTCGAGGAATTGATATTTCACAGCAATTCTTCGAGTCTTTTTGCTTACACAAGAAACACACACACTCACACATGGAAAAACGTAGGGATGCAAATGGAAATTTAATTGTTAGGCTTATGAAACTTTCAGGTCGTTAATATAACACAAGTCTCTAGTATTTGAAATACGTCTTTTACAAAGGTGAGGGTGGATATAGGGGTGGGGGATAAATTACAAAAAAAAAAAAAAATTGAAGTTATATAAAATACATATAAGGCTATATTTAAAATTTGGAAGCACTAGCTCTAAAGGTGTAGGAGATATAATTACATAACTAGCTTTCGATAAGGGTTTTAATCGATAATAAAATATCGGGAGTAGTTATCGATATTTAGAGAAAAGCTCGATCCGCCCGTAATATACACGGACCTAGAAATAAAATTTAAAGTCTTTAGCTCTAATATCTTCTGAGATCGACGCGTGCATACATACGGACGGACGGACAGATGGACAGGGCTAAATCGACTAATCGAATATATATATACTTTGTGGGGTCTGCCACGCCTCCGTCTGCCTGTTACATACTTTTGACAGAACCATTACACCTCGGTTTC